GGGCTGGCACCTAAAGGGGAAGGGGAAGCGAAACTCAGCATAGAATACAGAACTCTGGTTTCTGCAAGAGGGCGCTTCCAGGTTTTCTATGGCTGCTGCATAGGCGACAGAGTTTCCGCTTCGTTCTCTGATCGTATTGCCGCTTTATAGCTGAGGCTTTTAGGGCAGACGTCACACGGCGCAACCGTCCTAAGTACCATACCAGGGACACCCTTCGGAAAACGGACGAGCTGGGTGCGAAGTAAGCTCTTGGGCCCTTTGGTCGCTATTATGATACTGTTTGCCAAGGATTCTATGCAGCTTTCAAACGTGACGTCAGCATCTGGTGACGTCAACATCTGATTCAGCCCAAGCCTTCGTAACCGGTGACGTCATGACCAGTCAGCAAAACCCTCTGAGTCCTAGCTTTTGTTACACCAAGATCTAGAGTAAGAAGGCATTCGCAATCTGATGTCCGTCCCTGGTTGGATCTCGTCAAAGAAGGTGCTCTTCATCATTCGATATCAAACCCCGACTCTCAATTAGCTCCCGTCGTGCCGAGCCATCCGTTACGCATTTGCGGATTCTCCAGCTTGACTTAATGGACACCCATTTGCAGGTTCGGTCGCTCCGCTGTTCGTATCCTGTCGGGCGTCTAGAAGTCCGACTTCAAGACTGCCAAGTTCCACCACATTCCTTTGTACACCAAGGTCATTCAAGCACGAGGCCTAACCTCGGAGACGAGTTGCGAAGAAGGGGAAGGCAGCCACGGCCGCACCTCCAAGAAGGCCTATCTCGCCTCCAACAAGAAGGACACGGGAGATCAGGTGCAAGCATTTTCCATGCTCAGATTTTGGCCAACGGTTGTGATTTGGAACTCAACCATTCTGAACTTGAGAACATCGACAGCAAGGGTAATGAATCTTTTGTACGACCGGAGGAACAGCTCGGGAGACGTGAGCACCGGTGTCAAATTGGGTGCGGATGCCGGTGTTAACACCGTGCCCATCGGCCCCGATTCGTGTTCGTATCTTTCTTCGGATGCGTTCGTTCGTTCCGTACTTTCAATCGATTCTCTTAACGGTTCGGCTCTCCTGTCTGCGAGCCGAGCCGAGCCTTAGTGCGGTCGGAGCTGTCCAAACGAAAGCGCAATGTTATTCGACTTCTAAACGCAAAGCAGACTGTCAGCCGACTAGGTGAATCACGCAGGCAGCAAGGTCTTCCTTCTGGTCGCACTATGAAAAGGCTTTTTCCATAGGGCGACACGTGGCAGTAAAGAAGCTGCAGAGCAGCTACATTGAATCGTTGACGACATTCCTTACGCTCTTGATTGTGCAAGCTTAGGTTCATGGGCATTGGTCACCATTATCGTAGTTCTGCATGCGTAACCCTCGCTCGGGATTGCAGGTGATGCGCTTCAATCAGCGTCGGCAGAACGTGGCTGAGTACGTCAACGGATGCAATACAGGCCGCCGCGGTTTCCGCATCCAGCAGCGGGTCACAGTTGTCGCAGTCGCTGCGTCTGAAAAGGTACGCACTTTTCACAACCTGCATTTACACCAATTTTCAAATGGTGCGCGCACAGTTAGCTGCCAGCTTATGAGGTTGCTGCGTCTTCAGGCCCTTAACCCGTGAAACAGAGCTTTTGACTCAATGTCTTTGTTCCCGTTCGAGTTCTCACAATACCCTGTCCGTACAATTCTGGTCGTGACTAATCCACTCACTGTAATTAGAGTCGGAACACTATAAGAGTTCGGACATTACAAATGGTGATTGACGTGCCGTGCCGTGTCTCGGTTCTTTGCTTCTGGAAACTGAGCAGAAAAGATGATTCACCCGCTTTTTTTGAGACCGAGTGGAATTGCTTGAAGGTCCGTCTTCTGTAGAGGATGAGCCGACGGTGCACGTTAAGCTTCTACTCATCATCAGGCTTCCGAATGCGTCTGTGTCAGCAGTTCTATAGTGCTGATGCGATATTTAACGAATCGCTTTTCCTCGTCGCAGGCAGCGCGGCAGAAGAAGCACGTCCTGGCAGCCAGACGACTGACGTTGCGGTGGGAGTGGCTCCGGCCAGCGGGCCAAGCCACGTATGCGCGCTTCCCA